ATAGAAAATCTATCGGTGATAGATTTTCTACAGTACACGAAATATAATTGAATGTCCGATGACAGGTTTTTTCCTGGCACACTCATATATACGTCAGATTCATTTGTCAAACTGATATATATGACAATACAAATGTTCAACATGCTAGTTCAATACTTTAAAAGTCAACTATGAATATTTCAAAACCGGGTTTAAAAAAAATTTTTTTTTACGTTTTTAAAATTTCAAATAAAAACGTAAAAAAAATTTTTTTAAAAACCAGTTTTGAACTAGTGAGTTGGGCATTGAATTGCCATAATTATCAGTGTGACAGTATAAATCTGACGTATATATGAGTGCGCCCAAGAGAAAACCTGGCATAAGACATTTAATTATATTATGTGTAAAGTTGGCCATCTATGGAAATCTATCATGGTGATAGATTTTCTACAGTACACGAAATATAATTGAATGTCTGATGACAGGTTTTCTCTTGGGCGCATCATATATACGTCAGATTCATCTGTAAAACTGATATATAAGACAATCCAATGTCCAACTTGTTAGTTTCACTTAATATTTCTAATAATAATTACGTTACTACTTGTTTCATTTAAATATTTAGGTTTTTACTTTGTCGTGCTCCGTTGGTGATTTTATCTGACATCTTAGATCAAAGGGCAGTATATGTTTTCTCTTACATTATTATTTATAACTTACTTACTTGGATTTTTCATTATCTAAAAAATGTGTGGACGACCTCTTTATTAATTATATGCTGTTAGCGGATTATGATTTTACTTTTTTGGTCGTTCCACTTCTAATTGACAATTTTGTGCCGTTGGCATGTTGTTGATTAGATTTCAACTTTCACATGATGATTTTTAAAATTCTGAGAAAGTTTTTTTTTTTTTAATTTTTATTAATTGAATATTAAATTTTAATTACTGATTAAATAATTACTATTTATTATACTTAATATAAATAGGAAATGAAAAAAAACAAAACAAGTCAAGAAAGTTTTAGCTACCTTTTAAACGAACATATTAAATATTTAAGACGTTATTTGAGACGCCTAGAACTTCGCGAACCTTCAAAAAATTCAGTCCTATGGAATTTTATTAATGACGAAATTGAAGTAACGAAACGTCATAAAGAACAAGTTGACGAATCCAAAAAAATAACTGATTATGGGAGAGAAATAAGAGTGTATAATCGAGAAATCACCCATCTTCAACGAACCATCAAGGAACTTGAGAAAGTGATTAAAGAACTTCATGAAAGAAACGAACAAATCAGAAAAGAAAACGACGATTATATCAAAACACTTAGAGAAGAAAACAATATTCAAAAGAACTACATAAGTACTATTGAATATGATTTAATGAAGGTTGTCGAAGAGAAGAATAATCTTGAAAAGGATAATCTGAAATTAATGTTAATAATCGAAAGATTTAAAAATGAAAAAGGCGAAGATGAATATGAAGACGAAATTGAAGTTGAAGAAAGAGCATGGTGTCAAAATCAAAGGCTTTATGTTGAGTGCATTAAGGGAGAAGAAATGCGTATGGATTAAATTTTTGTAATGTCATGATTTTTCTGATAATAAATAAATATATTCTTTGTAGCTCTTATGCATTAAAATAGATACGATAAGAAAGTTAATAACTTAATATTTGCCAAAAAAATACACGCAATTTTATAATGGGCATACAAACCATTCCATGCTGCCAAATTTTGTCATCACAAGTCTTTCCGAGTTTTTTTAATAGTTCTATGTAATATTGAAATGTTCCGCTGTCTCTTCTAATGTATAGCGTTCAATTAGAACGTTCTATTGGGGTGAAAATCAGTTCTACTCACTTATGTAAAAGTAAAGTATGT